TTTTTATTAATCTTAAAATATTATCTTTAATAAAAGTATTAGTTAAAGTAAATATACCTTCTTTAGATAAGGTATTTTAATTAATATTAATTATATATAATCTTATCTTCTTAGCTATAAAATTACTATTTAAAAGCTTTTTAATATTAAAAGAGTATTTAAAATTAAAATTAGGTAATAAAGAATAAATATAAGGATTATTTATAATTTTATATTATTCCTTACTTATATTATCTAAAAAGATATTAATCTAATATTTAAAGTACTTTTATCTTTAATTAAAAAAGTAAAGATAATTAAACATAAAGTAAATATTTATAGTTACTTTTTAGATTTTAAATATAGTATATTTAAAGAATATAAATATAAGTAATTCTTTTTTTTATAAAATTATTATTTTTATCTTTAGTTTATTAATAAATATATATTATAAAATAATATCTTATAATACTTAATCCTTAACCTTATCTTTAAAGAGGCTATTTTAGTTAACCTAGTAAAGTTCTAAGCTAATCTTAGTAAATAGTATCTAAAAGACTAGATCTTTATATTTTATCTTTATTTTACTAACCTAGATATTTAACTTATTACCTTATTATCTTTTAAGAAGTTTAGCTAATATATTATTAGAGTAATCTCTTAGTAATAATATTATATTATAAATAATAAAGTAGTTATAAGACTAATTATTAACTTATTTACTAGTTAGTAAATAGATTATAAAAAATAAGTAAAGAAAATAAAGGTTAGTAAATTATTATTTAAATATTAGTTTAGCTATCTTTACTTTATTATCTTTCTTTTTATAAATAGTATTAAGATATTAAAGGGTTTTTACTTTTTTATTAAATATTATTATAACCTAATATATTTTAATATATAAGTTCTTATAAAATAAAAAATTAATAAGATTAACCTAGAATTTAATACCTAATAGTCTAGTTTATTTTAACTATTAGTTATTAAGATAATATTTAAATAATACCTTTTTTTTTATAATCTTTTAATTAGTATTAAGCTTATTATAAGCTTTTTATAAAACTCTTATTATAAAAACTAAGTATCCTCTAATTATAAATTTAAAAGAAATAACTATAATAAAGTTTCTAAGGCCTTAAACTATAATCTAAAGTACTACTAAAAGTCCTAATCCTTTAACTTAGCTAAAGTTTATAAGTAATTTATATAATTAGTAATATATAATAATATATTACCTTAAATCTCTTATTAGAATATTAAAGAAGTTTAAGACTTTTTTAAAGGATTTCTTAATATCTTTATATTATAAGGTTTTATTATTAAGAGGTTATACTAGTTTATCTTCTAGTTAAATAGCCTTTAGAAAGAAAATTAGTAATAGTTATAAATAGAGTTTTAAGATTATAAGCTTAACTCTTATTACTTTTTCTTAGAAGTAATACTTCTTATTACCTTTTTTATCTTAAATAAAAATAATAATTATATTTTTTATTATAAACTTAAATAAATAAAAGTAATAAAAATAAAAGAATAAAATAAATAAATAATAAAAGAAAAAAACTTTTTAATATTAGTTAATTTAATAAAAAAATAAAAAAAATAATTTACTAAAGTTATAATTAAGGCTTTAAATAATAAAAGATAATAAGAAATTAAAAAGGAAATAGTAAGAAATAATAATAAAATCTTTATAAAGTTTAAATAAAAGAAAAAATAATAAAAGTAAATTATAACTACTTATATAATAAGGTTAAATAATTAAGAATATTATATATAATATTAGGCTATAAAGAGGTTAAGGCTATTAGAGGAAGGAAAAAAGAAAAGAAGGTAAAAAAGAGGAAGAAAGTATTAATAAGCCTTATATAATTATTATAATTAATAAATTAATTTATAATTTACTATATATAATATTAATAATTATATTAACTAGTAGCTTATTATAATAAATATATATATTTAATAATATATTTTATAGTTTAAAAGTATTAATTTTTCTTAACCTTTTATTTCTTTTCTTTTTTTCTCTTTTATCTTTTAGATTAGTAGTAGTTCTCTTCCTTTACCTTATCTTAGTTATTCTAGTAA